TGTATACGCTGTTTAGATTGTCAAAAAGCCTGTGTTTTTAGGGTTATTAACGAAGTTTGTGTACTCAGACCAGTAATATTTGGGGTCACAAGTTTTTGCCATGGATATTTTGTGGGTCAGAAGATAAAAAGTTTGGGAACCACTGCTCTACAGTGGTAAGAGAGAGGGAAAAACCTAAACAAACAGTTTTAGACAGTTCTTTCATTTGACATGACACAACTGGATGAGGTTCCGAGAAGTTCTTCACCAATTGGATGATCTTTCCTCCGACTTGAGCCGTTGGTGGTGAAACTAACCCGGTCAAGGCTGACCATTACTGAGCGTAACTGAGGTTTGGCTGAATTCGTTGAGAGACGTCTGCCTTTCTGGTTCAAATCCACATTCTTTAAAAGGTTAAAGTTAAACTAATCCTCTTCCTCCATCTGTCTTTCCTCTTAAACCCACCCTGCCAAAAACTTAAGCAAGGTGCTGCAAACAAATGGTTTATTAACATTTAAACCTAAAAGTTTGTTGTTAAACTTTTTATAGGAAATTAATCTCACAATAAGCTGTACATTAGTGATTTATTTGATTCTGTAAATGAATAATCTCGTTTATTTTAGATCAACCTAAACTCAGTGAGTGCGCTCATCTTATTGGGTTTTGTCCATTCATTTTTGTAGAAAGAAGATATTACCGAAAACAAAAAGAACCTGTGAATTTCCTTATAATTTTTATTATAAGAAGAAGATACATATTGGTGGCGGTGGCCCGTAAGCTGTTTATCTACACTTGGTAAGATTACAAATTCTCAAAAAAAAAAGACAAGTACTGTAACGAAGTAAATGTACTTAGTTGCTATAAACCTCTGCTCAGTTCAGAAGGGTGAAACCAGCTGACATAATTTTTAAAGTAAATCCACTACATCTGTTTTTTGAGTTTTTATCCAGGGACTGTGAACAGGTAGACGTCAGAAGGTTTTTCAGTGTTTTCCCGTGGTCCATGGTTGCACATCTGTATTTAAAAAGCTTACAATAAGTTGATGCCCCAAAATGCGTGTAGTAATTTTGATCCAGTCCAGCCACGGACAACAAGACAAAAACCTGAGTCAAAGCAAAGAAGGCTGCAGAGTCAGACTGACAGGAAGTGAAACTAAAACCAGAACGGAGCTGAGGGGGGTCCAGGACTTAAAGGGACTTGAACCCAGAACCCGAGCTGCTCAGTTGGACCGTCTCAGTGACAAATAAATAAATAAGTATATTATATTTTAGTTGGTTGTCCGTATGAGGAAAAGAAAACTCAGGAATCAATGAAGCCTCCAGTTGAGTTTTTAATACTTTTCACCARCAGAGGGCAGTATAAACCCTCTGAGGAGGAGAAAAACAGTAAACCATCTGTTTCTTGAAACATTTTGGTATCTGTGGAACAAAACGGTAATAATGAAACAAATAGTGTTACGAATACTATGTAAGTAAAATGTTGCCATACTTCTTTTTTTTTCTTTTGCTTGTTTTGACAACAGTTTGAGCCAAAAAGCGACAAAACAGCCGAACATTTTGAAACATTTTGAAACATTTTCCCTTGATCCTTCAACACAAACTCTTCTCTGGATTCCTTCAACATATACAGTAAAAAATTAATAAAAAAAATTGGTGTCCTCCGTCTCACACAACCACTTCCTGTCGTTTCGAAGAATAAAACCACTATTTACACAYTTTACACAATAAACACGAGCGTCTTCTGTACATACAGATCAACAGGAAGTCAGTGGAGTGTCAAACTCAACACGTTTAGACTCCAACATTACAGTAATAAAAACAGACGGTGTTGAACAGGAGCAGAACGCTGGCTTGGCAGTTAATAATGGCTTTTCACAATGCTGGCTTTAGTGAGATTAAAACAAGCACCAAAAAACATTTAAAAATGAACTCCGTTAGTTCTCTGAACTGGGAGATTTAAACAGAAAATAAAAAAAGTTATTTTGTAAAAACATCTTTGGCAACGGACTGAAGAAAACGATGTACAGTACATGTTTCAGGCACAAAGTGAATTTTTTTTAACGACAAAATTTGTTTGGAGAAAAATTCCTATCATTTTGTGTCTTCTTAATGCTAAGCGAAGCTAAGCTAACTGACTGATGCTTTAGCAAATAGTGCATATGGATGCCTGTTTGTTTTATAAATTCTTGTTTGCTTCTGCTTCTTCATCTCGTTTTCCTTTTCTTGCCGAGTTAAAATTGTCCGTATCCCATCGACATGCCCATTCCCAGCCCCAGTCCCAGACTCTCCCTCAGCCCCCTCAGCTGCTCCTCCCCCAGCCGAATCTTGTCCTCCAGCTGCCTCTGCTCCACCAGCAAGGCCGCCTTCATCTTCACAAAGTGGCTGCAGAGGAAAACAAACAAACAAACAAATAAACAAATAAATAAAAACATTAGTGCTCAGGTGTGTTCGAGGGACAGGACGGGAATAAARGGCCTCTGTGAGGAGCACCTGTAGTCTCGGTGCTGCTCTGGAGTGAGGCAGCAGGCCAGAACCCGGCTGACGGCCTGCTCTCTGCGGTCGACGTGGTCCTTCAGGTCCTGAGCCTCCGACAGCTGCCTCATGAGCTGACGCTTCTTTTCCAGCAGGGGGAGCTGCAGGGCAAACATAAAACCATTCCAATTATTTTTATCTGTGGAGTCTGATTCCCTTATAATTCCCTGCTGATCTTCCTCCTCCTCCTCCTCCTCCTCCTCCTCCTCACCCTCTCGTGCAGCTCCGTCTCCGAGTCCAGCGTGTCCAGCGTTGTCTCCACCCTCAGCAGCCTCCCGGACAGGGACAGCATCAGGCTGACCACCTTGTCCAGGTCGCCGATGAACATGCGGTACTTGTCCACCTCGTTGGGCTTACACACCGACACCACCATGCCCTCCACCTGCGGAGCGAACGCAGGAGAGGCCAGGGTTAAATTACGCGTTGGAGACGCAGGCGATCGCTTCAACGAGCGGACGAGTTTGTGTCCCACCTCGTCTCCCAGCTGGGAGTTGGCTCTGATGTCCTCCTGCAGTCCCCTCTGAGCTTCCCTCAAGACCCCCAGCTTCTTCCGGAGGCTCTCCATCAGCTGTTTCTGCACAACGGAGCAGCAGCTGCGTGAAGGCCTTGTAGTGAAAACTAAACCACACACGCACACACACACGCACACACACACACACACACACACACACACACACACACACACACACACACACACACA